AGTAGGTCTTATTTTCGGGGATGTCTTACTTTCGGGGAAACACGGTAATAGTAAATGCCTACTATCCAAATATCTTGCACTGAATGATGTACATTAATGGTGTATGAATGCCAAGGTGTAAGTTAACATGTAACACTGGCTGGGATGATTGAGCTGATGGGTTGACTTTATTGGGCCATGGTTTGGCAGTTATGTGGTCCTATGGCTATCCACCATTTTGTGATATGATGTGGCCAACCTTCATTTTCATGAACCTCACTGTGTCCAAAAAAGGAGGAGTAGTTGTATATAACATATAGCCTAACTTAAAAATATTTATCTACATACATACATGTAACTGCTTTAGGAACAGCCATTTCACAAAGTTCCTATCTGTCTTTGTCAAAGGTGAAAGAATAAGTCCCTCCAACAGAGTGAAAATTCCGTACTTCTTCGTGTAGACCTCCCTTTAGTGGAAATGTCATATAGCTGGTGCTTTCACAACTTTAACAACTAAAATTACATAAAACTTATTTTTAAAATGAAGTTTGGATGTGACTCTTTTAGCGAATATGAGGTAGTATACAATGGGGAAAAAAAATACCTCACCAACCAAAAAAGAAAACGTGATAATGACCCCAAAATGTAAGGATTTCTTCATTATGTTTGATCAACAAAGGGAGAGAATGATCAGTATTCAGGCCAAGAACAATTACACCAGAGCTGAGCCATTTCATAAAAATTAGTCTCCACAGAAATGTATTCTTATATGTGTTGCACACCTACAAGCTCACATGCATCAGTTTGCTTTTTGTTATTTAAAACCAACATCACTGACTATAGAAATCACTGAAACACAGTATCTGAACGGTCATTAAGACAAAGAGAATGAAAAGAAGACACTTAACTGGCTGGAATTTGATCCACAACTGTTCTGCTTGATTCTATAAGCCAGTGGACTTTAAACAGGTGGACATCATGAGGGTTCATCGGAATCACATGAAGGTCATTTTCAAGTGTTAACACCCATTTCCCTCATTAGCCTTGTCTGAACCCATCATCTACTGCAGAAAGCTGAGATAATGATTGGTCTAAGGTTTCATAGTTCACCTAATTCTCC